GGTAGGCACAGCTCTGGGTAGCTAGCAGCAGGCAGGGAAGGAGACCAGAGATGATAGTGTCCCCCAAATCTCCGGGACAGCCAGGGACACAGAGAGGCTGGAGACCAGGATGCAGGAAGGCTCTGCTAGAGGACACCCAAGTGGACATGGTAAGGAGGGATGCAGGACAGGCAGATGACAGCCGCAAGCAGGGTGGTCCGGGACTTGGGGTCAGGCCTGTGGTTCACGTGGTGAGGTTGCCTGAGAAAAAGGGAGGCTCCTGGTGGTCCATACCTGTCATGCCAGCTCCCCAGGAGGCTGAGGCAGGAGAATCACAAGTTTGAGGCCATCATGGGCAACTTAGCAAGACCCTCTAGGAAGAAAGAAAGAACAAAGAAAGAAAGAAAGAAAGAAAGAAAGAAAGAAAGAAAGAAAGAAAGGGTTGAAGATATAGCTCAGCACTTCCTGGGCTCCTTCCCCAGTAGTGAAAAATGAAACAAAACATAGAAGGCTACTGTGGGTGGGATGTGCTAGAGAACTTGGGGAAAGATTTTGTTTTGAAAATTCTTTGAATAGTGATTTTAAAAGGCACAGTGGGGCGGGTTTCTGGGTAGCTGGGGCAGCGTGGGCGGTAGGAGAGGGAAGCAGCGAGGGGCGCTGACAGGGTCCTCTGGCTCCTGCCCGCCGCCCCCCCCCCCCGGCGGCTCCCTGTGAGCGCTCAGTGTTCTGCTTGCACTGTCAGGCCCCGCCGTGGGCAGCGCTGCTTGCCTGCAGCCTGAGAGGACTCTGCAATGTGTCAGGTGGAGGGGAGCGGGGGGACCTGGTGTGCTCCCAGGGGTGCAGGAGAACTAGGGGTGAGGGACAAGCAGGTGAGACTAGGCTAGGAGGAGGTTGACGGAGGCCCCTGCAGCGGTCACGGGGAGCCCCGGCCACTGATGACCAGACCGCTGTGCAGTCTGAGTCCTGGGAACCAGGTGATGGAGTACATTGTAACAACAGACTGAGGCCGGGCAAAATAAATAAAATATAAAATAAAAATGCACGACGTAAAATTCACCCCCTCAACTCTTTTAATCAGGTAGTGCAGCAGCACTGAGGGCATTCACACTGCTGTCAGGCCGCCAATTCCCAGAACATTTTCATCTCATCAAACTGGGACCCAGCTCCTAGCAAGCAGCTCCCCATTGTCTTCCCCGGCCCCTAGGAGCCAGCGTCCCATTCTGTCTGCAGAGTCTGACTACCCGAGGGACCCGGCGGGAGAGATGGGCAGTCGCTGTCTATGTGTGACCGGCCGAGTTCAGGTAGCATAATGATTGCAGGTCCCTTCCTACGGTAGCCTGGTCGGGATTCCGAACCTTTCCAAAGGCTGAGTGATAATGCTGCGTGTGTGGACCGTGCTGTGTGTATTCATGCATCCGTCCACAGAGACGTGGCACGTCAGGCCGTCCCCACTGTGATACAAAACAGCTGAGGTGGGCCAGGGATAAAGAGATGAGGTCTGTTTAGCTCACGGACTTGGAAGTTCGAGGCCTTGGTGCTGACCTCTGCCAGTCTGGTTGGCTGTGTCCCGGGACAGATGTCACTGTGGTGCCACAGGGCAGGACAGAGAAGATCACATGAAGAGACAGGATCTGGAACGGGAAGGGGAGAGGGTCTTGCTCAATCACTACAGCCCACTCTCATAGGAACTAACCGGGGTCCCAAGAGAACCGTAGCAGCCCTTTGTAATGACAGTTTAGCTGACATCATCACCTCCGCCGTGCGAAGGTCCCAACCTCGTCAGTGCACTGGGGACCGAGCTTCCAACACACGGACATTTGGGGACGTACCCATTTCCTAACCATAGCATTGGGTTGCTCCCACCTCTTGGATAGTGTGAACCGTGCTGCCGTGACCCTGGTCCTCAGATCCGAGTCCATGTTGGCTGTGGTTTATAGCCAGGGGTCCCTCAAAGCCTCATGTGCTCATAGGTGGGGCTTTCAAAAGGTGACTGAATCCTGGGGGTGCTGCTCTTAGATGTAATGTTGGGGGTGGGGCCGGAAGTGGGGGCCACTGGGGGTATGGCTTGGGTGGCTGTGACCCTTCCCTGGCTTCTCCCTTCAAATTCTGCTTCCAAGCCACCACCAAAGGAGCAGCTCTCCTCCACCAGCCCCCTGCATCACCCTCCCCGCCTGGGAGCAGGCCAGCTCTGGACTAAAATTTGAGAAAAAAACAAACCTCGCCTCATTTTAGTTGTGGGTGTTGGGTGTTGTATCTCAGCCATGAGGGAGCAGAAGTGACAGACAGATTGTGTGCCTAAGACAGATTTTGGTACAGAGTGGAGTCTTTGCTGTGGTGCTCCTGGACCATGTGGCTCAGGAGCCATTGGGACTGGCTTGAAGGAGTTTGGAAAGCTTTGGAGATGGCTGGCTGGGGAAGTAACCCTAGCATACTGTAAGCTAAGCTTGACGGGAGACTCTGATCAGAGCTTAGAAGACCAGAATGCTGATACAAATGCAGATGGTAAAGACCAGGCTCAGGAGGGCTGGGGATTTAGCTCAGCAGCAAAGCACCTGCCTGGCAACCGCAAGGTCGTGAGTTCAATTCCTGGTACTGGAAAAAAAAAAAAAAAAAAAAAAAAGAAGACCAGGCTCAGGAGGTTTCAGTTAGGAAAAAGACCATGTGTATTCTGTTCTGGTAGAAAATTTGTGTACCAGTTGCTCATGTAGACTTTTCAGGAGATGGAAATTAAAGATGTTGGACTCATTAATCTGGAGGAGGAAATTTCAAAGCAGCTCCATGTTCAGACCATGGCATGGCTACTGCTGGTTGATTTTAGTGAGATTTACACCGAGAAACCAGAGTAAAAGGCCCATTTAAAAACCTTTCACTTTCCCCCACAAGGAAAGGCTGGCAAAGCTGGAGCAGACGAGAGCTTGGTTGCTGAAACAATTAACATTAAAAAGAAGCCAAATACAATGGGACAGTAGGAAAGACATTTTGAGGGCATTTAAGGAATCAGCAAGACGTCATCCTTTGAGGACTAAAAGGTACTTTGCTTTGAGAGCCCCGGGATACCCCAGATGTGGGGGTGGGGAGAAAGGGCTGCCTTGAGAATTGGTTCCTCAGTATTCAGCCATCCAAACACTCAGAGGCTGCTACAGTCAGGATTGAAGGGGACCCTGATATTGCTTGAGTTAGTGGCAGACTTTGGTATCATCCACACAGCGTTGGTTTTACAGGCTTGCAGAATTTAAGAGGTGTGGGGTTAGGGAAGCTTCCACCCAGATTTCAGGAGGCCTGAGAGGCCAAGCAGTATTTCCCTGAGCAGGCAGTGTGTGAAGCTTTGAGAGCAAAGCTGAAAGTCCAGTGGAGACCCCAGGAAGTTGGAGATGCTAGGAATGTGGACCATCCACTAAGGGAAGCAGCAGGCAGCAAGCATAGCCACCCCAAGAGAGGCCACCAAAGCTACAGCCAACAATGCCATAGCAATGGGGCCACTCAAGCGGTTTGGAGCTCATCTCTTTGCTTTGGGTGCTAGACACGCAGCTACAGGATTTCATGTTTGCCCTGCAGGGCTTCAGTGTTCTTTTGGTCTGATTCCTTTCTATCTCCTGTGTCTCCCTTTAGGAATGGGAATGTTCACTCCGAGCCACTGTATGTTGCAAATGTTTAACTTTCTTTTTATTTTTACAGGGGTTCACAGCTAAGAGTTTCCCTTAGGTCTCAGAAGAGACTTTGGACTTGGACTTTTCAGTGCTGGACTCCTAGAGATGGACTGAATGCATTGCTCATAGAGATGCATGAGCCTTTTGGGGGCCAGGGTCAAATGTTACGGTTTATATGTCCCCCCAAAGCCTCTTGCACTCATAGGTGGGGCTTTAGAAAGGTGACTGTGTGATGGGAGCTTGATGCCAATTATGTGGTGAGGAGGTGGCACCTGACTGAAGAAGTGGCTCGCTGGGGGTGAGGCTTGGAAGGAGGTCCCCCCTCCCCAGGCCCTCCCTTTGAGCGCTGCTCCCTGGCTGCATGAGGTGAGCAGCTTCCTCTCCAGGCCTGTCCCCGGGCCTTCTTGCCTTGGAGCCGGCCAAGCATGGACTGAAAATGTGAGACACAAAATAAACCTTTCCTCCTTTAAGTATCAGGTGTCAGGTATTTTATTCCAGTGACAGGAAGATGATGAAGATGGTGTTTCTGATTCCTTTTGATGTACGTTCAGTAGAGGGATCACTGGACTCCAGAAACACTTTAAACACAGCCTGACACTAACGAAGCTCTCAGCTTCTTATCAGAGGCTGGGGGTGGCCCAGGATTCACCCCTGGACCCCATCTGCTGGTTCCCATAGAACGGGCTCAACCTTACCGGCACAAGACGTCTGGTCACTCTGAAAGGCCCAGCTCACCAGCGGGCCGTCCCAGTGCACTGGGCCCATGCTTGTAGGCCTGCTGCAAGCACAGGTGAACACACGTGCATGCACACACATGCCACGAGGCAGGCACACTGCAGACAGACACGGCCTCCCCAATCCCACCCAGTCGGTCTGGGCCCACATTCCTGGGTGCCCCACCTGCCCTGCCAACCTCGGTGGGAAGACAGTTGGGGGACAGGGCTCTGCCTGCTCCTGCCCCTCCTTTCTGGGGCTCCCGGCATCCTGAGGCCAAAGCTGAGGCTCAGGCCCAGGCCACATCCACAGCCTTGCTTCCTTCAGCACCCAGGACAGGGCTCAGGCCAGCTGCTATCAAGAATGGGAAAAGCTCCTGTGTTAAGGGAATCTGTTACCCTCCCTGAGGGGACACCAGGGCCCAGGCTGAGCCGGCTGTGTGAGGACCCCTTCCATGCTTGCCTGGTCTTACTCTGCCCTTCCTTGAGCTCACAGGGCAGGATGGTTCAGAATCCAGAGTTCAAGGCTGCCTGGAGCAAGGGGTGGAGGACACGAGGACTTTTACAGCCAGGACCAAAGTCCTCCTGACACAAGCAGAGATAGCTTGTGTGGGAGCTGCTCTTCTGCCGTCCCAGCCACTGCACCAGTGCCGTCCCCAACATGCAGGGAGCCAGGGTGCCGCTGCTGCTGCTGCTGCTGGGCCTCAGGCTACAGGTGACCCATGCCATCATCCCAGGTAATGAGGCCTCCCAAGGCCCCCCTGAGGACCACCTTGCCCCGGGCTGACCTGACCTCTCTCCCCTGGCCAGTGGAGGAGGAGAACCCGGCCTTCTGGAACCAAAAGGCGGCCGAGGCCCTGGAGACCGCTAAGAAGCTGCAGCCCATTCAGACGGCGGCCAAGAACCTCATCCTGTTCCTGGGGGACGGTGAGTGAGTGTGCGGGGTCCCGCTGAGCGTCCGGGCCAGCCTGGGCCCAGCCTGACACGTTCTGCTCCTCAGGGATGGGGGTGCCCACAGTGACCGCCACCAGGATCCTGAAGGGCCAGATGCAGGGCCAGCTGGGGCCGGAGACGCCTCTGGCCATGGATCAGTTCCCGTACATGGCGCTGTCCAAGGTGAGCAGGGGCCAGGCCTGTGGGCAACTTATGAACTGGGCTCTGCCCTGAGCACAGCTGACAGCGTCTCTGTCCCCAGACGTACAACGTGGACAGACAGGTGCCAGACAGTGCGGGCACGGCCACCGCGTACCTGTGCGGGGTCAAGGCCAACTACAGGACCATCGGGCTGAGCGCAGCCGCCCGCTACAACAACTGCAGCACAGCCCGGGGCAACGAGGTCCTCTCCGTGATGTACCGCGCCAAGAAAGCGGGTGAGCCTGAGGCCGGGCCTGGGACAGGAGTGTGCCCAAATGGCCTGGGACACCCACTGAGCCCTCTGTCCCCTTCAGGGAAGTCTGTCGGCATAGTGACCACCACCAGGGTACAGCACGCCTCGCCGGCCGGCACGTATGCACACACCGTGAACCGGAACTGGTACTCGGATGCCGACATGCCCGCCTCAGCGCTCCAGGAAGGCTGCCAGGACATCGCCACGCAGCTTGTCTCCAACATGGACATTGACGTGAGCTCAAAGGGAGGGGAGGGGCTGTGAGGGAGGGGGACTCGTCACTGGCCAAAGTCCCAGGTGTCCTTCAGCTCAGCCCCGCAGCCCCCTGGGTCTTGGGAGCTGCGGCAGGGCCAGTGGAGGAGGCTGTGCCCGGGACAGGCTCCGCACGGCCCTGGGGGGCATGCCGGGACTGGGAGGAGGCGACAGAGGACCCTTCCAGCCCAGGTCCAACATCCTCATCTCTGATGACAGGTGATCCTGGGCGGGGGCCGCAGGTCCATGTTCCCCAGGGGGACCCCAGACCCGGAGTACCCAGATGATGTCAGCCAGGCAGGAGTCAGGCAGGACGGGAAGAACCTGGTGCAGGAGTGGCTGGCGAAGCACCAGGTGATGGGGCGCACAGGGCAGGGATGTGGGGGACGGGGATGGGGCTGTGGGGGGCCAGGGCCATGGGTCTCAGGCTCTGGCTGAGGCCTGGCTGTCCCTGCAGGGGTCTCGGTACGTGTGGAACCGCACAGAGCTCCTCCAGGCGTCGCAGGACCCGGCTGTGACTCGCATCATGGGTGAGCCCCTGCTGCCCGGGCCCTCAGGTGGCCTCTGACAGCCGCACTGCAGCTGTGTGCTGTGGCCCCTTCCGGTACCCAACCTGGCGGTCACCCTGGGGTCTCTTGTCCTCAGGCCTCTTTGAGCCCTCAGACATGAAATACGATGTCAACCGAGACCCTGAACTGGACCCCTCCCTGGCGGAGATGACAGAGGTGGCCGTGCGCCTGCTGAGCAGGAACCCCCTCGGCTTCTACCTCTTTGTGGAGGGTGAGCGGGGGCACCTGGCACAGCAGAGGCCCAGAGGGACATCGAGAACTGGATCCAGCAGCACTTTCTGGCTTCTGCAGGGGGCCGCATCGATCAAGGCCACCACGAGAGCAGGGCTCATCTTGGGCTGACTGACGCTGTCATGTTTGACTCTGCCATTGACAAGGCTGGCCAGCTCACTAGCGAGCAGGACACCCTGACCCTCATCACCGCTGACCACTCCCACGTCTTCACATTTGGGGGCTACACCCTGCGGGGAACCTCCATCTTTGGTAGGCCCCCGGGGACTCTGACGGGTGCTGTTGCTAAATTTGATGGCAAAGGTCTCTCTGAGCCTCAGTTTCCTCATCTGCCCAGTGGGCACACTGATAGTGCTGCTTCACAAGGATCTTGGGAGTATTAAGCCTGAGACCAACTCAAGGTGAGGGAGCTGGCAGACACATAACCACCAGGGGCAGTCAGTGCCATCCTATGCACCCCTCTACCCCTGCAGGCCTGGCCCCCTCCTTGGCCTTAGACTTTAAAAACTACACCTCTATCCTCTATGGAAACGGCCCAGGCTACCCGCTGACCTCCAGCAGGCCTGACGTCAGCGACAGTGAGACTGGTGAGTGCTGCCGGATGCCCCTTCGCCTGGTGGAAGTCGGCAGGGAGACTGGAAGGAGGAGGTAGTAGCTCTCCTGGGAAGCTCCGCTGACCACTGTGTCCCCCCAGGTGACCCCAACTACCGGCAGCAGGCGGCCGTGCCCCTGGCCTCAGAGACGCATGGTGGCGAGGACGTGGCGGTGTTCGCGCGCGGCCCGCAGGCGCACCTCATGCACGGGGTGCAGGAGCAGAGCTACATCGCGCACCTCATGGCCTTCGCGGGCTGCCTGGAGCCCTACACCGCCTGCGACCTGCCGCAGCCCGGCCAGAACAGCACCACGTCCGCCCCGGCCCCGACGCACGCCCCGG